TACATCAGACGGTTCCTGGACTGGAAATCACAATAGTGACAATATTTCAAAGCTGGGGAACTACCATTGCTGATGGCTACAGTGCCTCATGGATGGTGCAGTCCTGAGGTACTTGATCTGTTTTAAACCCATCCCATTCAGCATGGCAGTGGTGCCACTCAACACAATGGAGGGTATCCTCAATGTGAAGGTGGGACTTCTTCACAATGACTATGCAGTGGTCACTGCTACTGGTACTGACATGGACAGATGCATTTGCAGCAGATGGATTGGTGAGGTTAAAGTCAAGCATATTTTTCCTCCTACTATCTATCCCCATTCCCCCATCACCGCTGCAGGACCAATCTAGCAACTACGTCTTCTAGGACCTTACTACCCCAGTCAATGGTGCTGCTACTAAACCACGCTTGCTGATGGACATGAAGTTCTCTCTCATTCTTTATGGAAGGAAATCTGCCATCCTTACCTGAACTAGCCTGCATATATGTCCAGGCCCACAGCGACATGGCAGGAGGAATAGCATGAGAAAACATTCACCCGAAACCACTTTCTTATTATAGCCCTCACTATTTGTTCACTTAATTTTGATCTCACTTGTGAATAGTAAAGTCACCCAACATCATTACAATCATACAGGCTGCAGCTGTGGTGCATCACAAGCAATGACTTACAATGTCAAGGAGTTGCTGCTAAACCTGAAGCTGAATTTAAAGAATGCAGTCAATTCACTAATAAGGCTTGTGCTTGACTCTGTGATTCTGAAAATTGGCTTCGTAAATAAATAGATATTTTTGTGTGTATCTATTCTCAATGCTGACATGTGCCACAGTAGCAAGGATTATTACCGGCTGTGCAATTGGCTTGCACCATACTCTGAAAATTATGCTGGTGCTTCCCTTTATCCTGGCAGAAGCCACATTGCAATCATTTTTCTTTTAGCCACTATGTCAAATTAAAGGGTCGCTGCTGGGCATCCAAGGGCTATCTGCTGTACAACCAGTTCATGATTCTCTTTCACAACCCAATCACATATGGCCAGCATATGATCAATGCAGATAGCTTTGCAGAAAATCCTTAAGCTGCTTTAAGCCTAGAAGATCAACTTTTTATTACAACACAGCAGTACAATTGACATCTCGCTGACAGGCAAAGTTCTTCCACAAAACCATCATAAATCAGATCATTGAGATGCTAAAACATTGAATATGCTTCCTTGGTTAAACTAGAGATCATCTCCAGAACTAGCTGAAGCAGCTGTTTCCATTTATGGAGGTTTGCAGGGTCGACCACACCATGAAGACAAAGCTGTTAATACGTGGGATTTTGTAGCTACTTGAAGAGGAACATGAGGAGGATGAGAGAAGGGAGGATGAGACTAAAATATCTATTTTCCACGAGTACCTCATTCATCTCAAATTCAAGAATACAACTCTATTTTACAACAGTTCCACTCATCTCTGTCACAGAACATCACAGGATTCCTCTGGCCACAATCCTGAAATAAGAGCTACTGCAAAATAACCATTGCATATCAACATTATCTAATAGAATATTCAATATTCGTACAAAACTCAACTAATCGCCCTTAGGTGTTTCTTTTGTGCCAATTAGAGAGCATCATTTTCTGGCTTTTTGCTTGTACACAGTACACCACATGTCTGGTGGAAGGCTGACTTATAGTTGAAAAGATTGCATATGACCTTGCGGAGGAACCACTCAAGCAACTATGAGCTTAAATGACCCAGCTTTGGACTACACAATTTTAGCATGGGTGGCCACTATCCAGGCCAGATGGCTGACAGGAAAAGATCTGATGAAAGGTCACTGATATGAAGCTTTAACTCTGTTTCTCTCTCTAAAAATGCTGTCAGCGTTACTAAATATTTACAGTATTCTAATTTTAGTTCAGATTTTTGGCATTCATAATATTTTGGTATAAATGCGACTGGTGAAGTGGCAGTGGTTTGGACTTCATGGTACAGCTGTCACTACTTTGGGTCAATGCTTCAACAATTCAAGCAATCTGCTGCAGAACACTGAATATAGATCTTAGGATGCAGCAAAAACAAAAGTTCAAGGAATGTTGAATGTCTCAGAGATACCTGTAATTATGGCTAGATTTGAAATACAAAGAATCACATGAGTTGAAATTCATGCAGAAACGGCCTTGAACTGAATATTAACTATTCCTCTCTCCACGGATGCTGTTAGACCTGCTGAGTATTTACATCATTTTATGACTTATTTCCAGCATTTTGTGATTTATTTCCAGCATTTCTGTTCTACTGTTGCAGGACACAGATTGTTAGACAGCTGTCAGAGAAAGTAGCTTCAGCACAGGTATCTAAAGCTATGATGGCATGAAATTTTATTACTTCAACCTGAACGTCCACTCAAACGCTATGTACTCTGCTTGTGCTGCACTGGAAGCTGAGACATTAGCCATCAGATGCTGCATCATGGTTGGGTCCACAAGCACTCACATGGAGTTGGCCAGCACTTTCATACTAGAAAGGTTGGATTTGCAAGAAGCCTCATGCCAAGTTGAAGTTACAACCTTCATGTTCTTCAAAAGCATCATAAAGTCTTTTGACTGGTTTTACAATACAAAAGCATTTCACTGCTTGAGTCCATTCCCTTCTCCTAAATGTCATTACAATTCACATTCAAGTCTTCTGCAGCAGAACTTATGTGTATCCTCACATCCGATAGAACTTGCATATGTCTATTTGTTCTCTTGACCCAGTTACATTCCAGTCATTATCAATGACTTACTACATACAGATTGCACCTCCATATCTCATCTAAAGTTTGTAGACTGCCAGTGTTCAAACTAACATGGTTGTCTATGTGGGATCCGGTGAAGCAAGTGATACATAGTTACATCACCTGTGGTTTGCAAATTAGAACAGATTATGGCATGGCAGTGAAGTGCAGTATGAGGAGGATCAGGTAGGCACATACTATTGATAGTGCACTGGCTGTGTCCTCAGCCATAGCTGCATGAATGGGACTGAGTAACCATTCCAGTTACTTGAGTTCCAGTTATGGGCCACATTGCCTAGCAAGAGAGAGAAAAGTATGTTAGTGAACCTGCTTCATTGTGTCTGAGTGATGTGCTTGTCTGACGTAAACATAGTAAATGCCAAATGTTAGTTAGAAGTGTGCATCTTGCAAGACTAAGTGTGAAGATGAGGTGAAGTATGAGTCATAGTAGGTGGAAACTGTTGTTAGGTTAGTGAATGGAATGTATGAATGAAGGTTTATTTGCTGACCTTGATCACTTGTGTGAGATCATTAAACTTCTTGCAGTACTACATATGGATCCTCAGAACTAAACTGTTGATATTGATTATGACAGCTACCTGCTCCCATTGTCTTCTTAGCATTTGTTTGAAGGCACCTCTGTTATATAAGGTAATAATTTTAAGGGGTTAAGGTTAGGGTTAGGGTTAGGGTTAGATTCATGTTAAAATGGCTCCACTCATTGCGCAGATGTCACATGGGTGGAGAGAGGGAATTCTGTACTAGCTTTCAGAGGAAACAGACGTATCTGCACAAACTCTGTAATTATGTCTAACCAAAAAAACCTTCTTATAACCCAGGAAGTGTCTCTTCTGCAGAGTCTCTACAGTGGTGTATCCTCAACCACTAATCAATCACTCAATAGGCCCAAGGCAAAGCAATGATAAAAGAAGATTGGTGACAGCAAACCACCTCAAGCAAACCCTACCAATGCTACACACTGGTATAAGTGACAAATACGACAAGATGCCAGTGGTGGCAATTACTCCCTTCACAGCTGGTGCACAGTGGTGATAATGTGAACCATCTACAAGATGTACTTCAGCATCTTAGCAAGGCTTCTTTGACAGCACCTTGTAAACCCCTGACCTCTTCCACCTACAAAGACTAGGGCAGCATATTCATGGATACACATAACTACTTGCAAATTCACTTCCAAGGCACATGCCACCCTGATTTGGAACTATTTTGCATTCTGTCACTGCCACAGAGTTGAAATCCTGAAGTTCCCTTCCTCACAGTGCTGCGGGTGTACCTAACCTCAAAGTCTGGTGTGGTTCAAGAAGGCGGCTTGCAACCACATTTTCAATGGAAATTGGGAATGGGCAATAAATGCTGGTCCAGGAAGTGACACACACATCCCATGAACAAATAAAAGTAATTCAAAAGGACTTCCTCTCACAATACTGCCAATTAAGAGCTCAGTGGTTTTGTTTAACTTTCACATTTTTAAAATATGATTTATTCGGTTAGCAATACAGTTCTTCATTATACTTGTACTACCTTGGCAAATGGTTTACATTTTCTGTAGACCAGTTTCATCCACGGAGCCTAGGCCCGAAACGTCAGCCTTCCTGCTCCTATGATGCTGCTTGGCCTGCTGTGTTCATCCAGCTCTGCACCTTGTTGTCTCAGATTCTCCAGCATCTGCAGTTCCTACTATCTCTCGTACCCAAATCCTGATTTGGTTTGCCAGGTTTGCACATAAGTATATTTTTGGAGAAAATCCACTGCCTTTCCACCATTATTGGAAAGCAGTATTTCCTATGTGCTTACAGTGTCAAGAACCCATTAGTGGACATCCAAACCCATTTAACTTTTTGTTGCTGTTTCACTGCCTGATTATTGCTTTTGTTGGTATAGTGGAATTAAGCCAGACCTATATACTTTTCCAGCCAAATTCAAGAAGTTACGGCTTCACTTACACTAGAACATTTTAAAAAAAATTTCTCTGCCCTTCTCGAAATTACTTATTTCTTCTAAGCTATCTTGTAATTTAAAGAATTTTAATTATCTAATGGACATTGATTATATAAGCTGAGTTTCGTAAAAATCTATTTAGTTTGATGTATAATAAGGTTTGTAAAAAAATTTCATTTGCAAAAATCTGCTTAATGTAACTTTAATGTGCCAGTAAAATATTTACCTTTTCTCATACTTTATTTGTGAGAGTAACTTTGTTTCATTTTTTACAGATAGCAACACAACAAGAGCAAACAGTCCATGCCCAGAAGAATGAAGAATTAATAGAATCAGAACTTCCCGAGGGAGCAGAGCAAGGTCAAAAGATCCATGGAAAGGCTAGTAAATGATTTACCTCGTTTAAAACTATTATTCTTTCTATGGGAATCACATGTGACAACAGTTTATTTTACAGACATGTAGTTGATTTTAAATGTCTTATATTCCAAATAAGTTTTGCCAAAAAATTTTGACTTCTTTACTATCTTATTAAAAGCATAGCTATGTTTGTATTTGTATATGACAGGAATTGATTATTGACTTACTCATGTTCTCTATTAACTACTTTTCATCACTGACAACATTTGCTTCAACCATCTGTGAATCTTCCATCCACTCAACAATTGCTCAAGCACTAGGAAAAATTGGCAAACTTCTTTGGAGTTGCTCCCACTCTGCCACTAAATTTGGACAAATACAGAGCAGGATTGATGTTTGTAACTGTAGTACATCCTGAGAATTATAACAATCAAAAAGAACACATCTGAGGAAATTATGGGCACAAGAATTTTAATTTTAAACTTAATTTTGCAGATCTTTGCAGTGGAGACTTCATGGGAATAACATTTCCAGTCCACAGCTCTGAAAGACAATTTATCATTTTTGCATTACCATATTTATTACCATAGTTTATACCATTTTTTTTGATAACTAAATCTGAAAATGAAACTAGTATAGAATGATTGCCTGCACTTTTCAACGATTATACAAGTGTGAACCTTGCACTGAAGTAGTTCTTTATCATGTAGGAGCAAATTACTATAGATGCTGGAATCTGTACTGAAAACAACAAATGCTGGAGTTCACAGTGGATCAGATAGTGTCCATGGAGAGAAACAAAGCTAACGTTTTGAATCTAGGTGACTCTTCATCAGAGCTGAAATGAACTGTGAAGGGGGCAGCATTTATGCTATTGTTTGGGAATGGAGATGGTGGGGTGTAGAGTGCTGGGGAGAAAAGATGTTGATAGTTCAGATTAATGATTGGAATGTGAGAATGGCAGAACAATGGTGTGTCTAACTGCCAGACTTGAAGGAGAAGACAGTCCCACTGGGTTGGGGGCAGGGGAAGGAGAGAGGACATAGTGACAGAGAAAGTAGCAGGCAAGGCCAAAAGAAAGGGAAGAAATGGGAGAATGTAAAAGTGAAGTTCACCGTGGATGTCCAGTCCCTCTATATTTCCATTCCCCACCAGGACTGTCTGCGAGCTCTCAGCTTCTTCCTTGACCAGAGGCCTGAAAACTCCCCATCCACCGCTGCTCTCCCCCACCTGGCTGAACTTGTTTTCTCACTGAACAATTTCTTCTTTAATTCATCTCATTTGTGCCAAGTCGAAGGAGTGCAATGGGCATCCACATGGGGGCCAGATATGCCTGCCTGCTTCTTTATTGGGTATGTGGAACAATCCTTGTTCCAGTCCTACACTGGCCCCCTCCCACAACTCTTTTTCCAGTACATCGATGACTGCTTTGGTTCTGTTTCATGCTCCTGCCAGGACCTTGAAAAATTTATTCATTTTGCCTCCAATTTCCACCCTCTATAACTTTCACATCGTCCAATTCAGACTCTTCCATCCTTTCTTTGACATCTCTGTCTCCATTTCAATGAATAAACTGTCCACTACCATCCACTACAAAGCCACTGACTCCCATAGCTACCTTCACTACAGCTCTTCACACCCCACGTCCTGCAAGGACACCATCCCATTCTCCCAGTTCCTTCGCCTATGTCACATCTTTTGGGATAATGCCATCAACCAAAACAGCAATGCTGACATGGCTTGCTTCTTCCATAACCATGGCTTACCACCCACTGTGGTTTACAGGGTCCTCAACCACATTGACCTATCACCCTTGCACCTTCCCATCACTCACAACAGCATGTTTGGGACCCCTTGTCCTTACTTTGCATCTCACCAGCCTCCACATTCAAAGGATCATTCTCCACCACTTCAGACAATTCCAGCAGAACGGCACCACCAAACACATCTTCCCCTTGTCTGCATTTCGCAGGGAGGGTTCCCTCTGGGTCACCATAGACCATTCCAAGACCACACCCCTTTCCTACAGTACCTTCCCATGACAGCGCAGAAAGTGCAACATCTGTCCCATCACCTTCTCCCTGCTTACCATCCAAGGACCTAAACAGTCTTTCCAGATGAAGCAACATTTTACCTGTACCTCCTCCAGTCTTATGTATTGTTTTTGCTGCACAAAATGCAGCCTACTCTACATTGGAAAAACCAGAGGCAGACTGGGCGACCAGTTTGCATAACACCTGTGCGCAAACATGACCTTGACCTTCCTGTAGCCGGTTATTTTAACATAGTGTCCTGCTCACATGCCCACTTCTCTGTCCTCAGCATGCTGCAGTGCTGCAGTGAATCACAGCACGAACTGGAGGAACAATATCTCATCTTCAGACTGGGCACGATACAGCCTTCCGGACTTAATATTGAGTTCAGCTCCTTCATGTTGTGAACCACCTCCCATATCTTCTCTTTCTTTTATCTTTACCTGTACATTCTCCCATTTCTTCTCTTTCTTTTATCTTTACTTGTCACATTCTCTGTCACTATGCCCTCTCTCCCCTTCCTCTACCACAGTGGTACTTTCCTTTCAAGTCTGGCAGGTAGATACACCATTGTTCTGCCATTCTCACATTCCAATCACTAAATCTGAACTATCAACATCTGTTCTCCCCACCACTCTACACCCACCAACCCCACAGCCCCCCCAACTACTGTATAAATGCTGCCCCCTCCACACCACGTCAGCTCTGATGAAGAGTCATCTACACTCGAAATGTTAGCTTGCTCTCTTTCCATAGATGTTGTATGACCCACTGTCATGTCCAGCATTTGTTGTTTTCTGCCATGGATTAAAGGCACACTCATTTGATGATAATTTATTAATCTTGTAGTCCTGAGGGCAGGTGGATCATATTTTGTGGGATACCAGTGTGTCCATCTGCATCATTTTTACACAGATAATTTGTAATTGTACTCCTGGATGTAGTGTCAAATGCTGACTTGCATGACAGATCTTAAATCTACTATTTAGAGAATCAATCCAAAAGAAGGGTTTTGGAAAAATTGGTAGTTGGAAGCGTCTTTGGGGTTTTGATAACTGACCAGAAGTTAGGTTTAAAACTTACTTTGGGAATGGTCAGCTATTGTTATAATGCAAATTGACTTGTTCACGCAGTTGTCTGCTTCCTGAGTTTTAATTCTTCATGATTGATTTTTGTAGTCCATTTACCTGATTCAGGCATTTTTACAAATCTGATTTCTTGAAGGTCAATGGGTGGCAATTTGATTTTTCCCACCTGTAGCATCCAAACTTACATCCTGCACTTCATTCTCTGAGTTTTATATCAACCCAGAGTTGGTGTTTTGAGTCCAATATGACTTTTCTTCAGAACTCTGTCCGAGTCACATCAGTATCTCTCCACAGATGCTGCCAGACCCGCTTAGTTTCTTCATCATTTTTGCTTCATTTTAAATTTCCAATGTAGTATTTTGATTTTATCTAGATCAACCCAGTTCACCTGGTTGAGATTTAAAATTTGTTTTTGTTATTTTGATATCCCAGTGGGTCACTCTGTTTTCAATGTATTGGAATTCTCTGGTGGTCTCTACCAGTGGTATCTACTGTGGTGTGTGTTTCTTTACCTTTTCCCTTTGCTTTGGGAATGGGTTTTCCATAACCTGTTCGCATTCCCTGGAACACTACTTCTCTCAGCTACATGCTCAACTTCTGCCTGCCTGTGGCTCTTAACCTAAATGAGTCATCTCTTTCACCTTCTCCTGGTCTGTCTGTGCACCTCCCTGGTCTCCATTTTAAATTACCATGAAGTATCTGTTAATCAGATATCTAATCTTTTCTCATCCTCTGTCTTGGGCCTGTCTTGACCTCTTTTATGGCTATTGGCCTAAATCAGGCCCTTTTAACTTCTCCTTCCTGACCCTTTCTGGCACCACTGGCCTGAATTCAGCCTTTTTGATTTTTGTGTCTTTATTTCACTTTTTTTTTTCCATTCTGGTCTCTCTCTCTTTATCTTCCTGTTCAAATTTCCATTGTTTCAGTTTTGGTTTACCTGCTTCAGTGTCTCAATTTTCAACTCCAAATGTTTGCCACCTGTTTGCAATTTCTTTCTTCCTGGTTTCTATGTGAAACTCCACCTGTAATTCACAGCTAGTGTCTTTAATTTGTTGCAAATTATTTCATTCCGTTCTATGAATTTGTTGACATCAGATGTGGACATCCTTGCACTTTAGTATTGTAATGTTGCAAAACACAAGAATTGTAGTGACTTCTTTGATTATAAACGAATTAATTTAGTTTCCACTGCCATATACACTTGTTGCCCACAGTTTCAAATTTCAAATGTTAGACCCCAAACCTACAAGGGTGAGTAAATTCCTTTCTTCTCACCACTGAAGTTTGTATAAAAGTTTTCAAAAGGTATATTTATTTCTAATTACATCTGCTCTTGAACTTGCATTCAACCTTTGAAGTACGCACGAGACAGATCTCCATGAATCATTCTGAGTGAAATGAGTTAGTTGTTTAAACTTATTCAAATGAAGCATAATGACAGACGCACACGTCGCATGGAAAAGGTGGCTAATTCTGGATAAAATTAAACTCTGTGACAGTTAAACGAATTCCTGCATGGCTTGATCATACCTGTTCACACTCTGAATTGTGATATATTTGGAGCATTAATTTGGATGACAGATGGCTTTTGTCGCTCCTGTATTGGGTATTAGATTTTATGGATTCGACTCTACCATAGCGAAAATATACAGATACCTTAACTCTAGCAGCAGTTATCTTTATTTACCTATTCATTTACAAATTAAATGAGAAATGCAACTGAACCTATCCTGAAATCTTCAAGTGCTTAGTTGGTTAAAATCGTGATCACTTTAAAGTCTGTCCAGTATTTAGTTTTCTTCTTTCCTTTTGACTAGGGCATGTCAGTTCCAGCTGACTGACAGAAGGAAGGTAGAAACAGCAACAGAAATAGCTGGAAAAACTTAGCAGGTTTGGCAG